ACCTTAATTTGCTTCAGGTTCCAGAAAAGATTATGTTTTTGAAATAGCTCTTCCTAAGTTTGAGACAAAAATTGAGGATAATTAAAGAAATGTCAAAGTTATAGATGCAGAATTAAAAATCAAAGATCCAGTTAATGGAACAGTTATTACCAAATAAACCAGTCTCACATTAACATTTTTTAATTAAGATGAATAAATTAATTAAAATGAAGCTGATCTTGATGTTTATGCATAGTATTTCAGAGTCAAAGGAACAGAAGTGATAGATGAAGCAAGAAAAGCTTGTGAATAAAATAAGAACGAGGATGCCGAAAAATTAATTGATAATATGTTGATACAAATTTAAAAGATACCAAATGTTGCTGCTTAATGTACTGGAATTATTTAAGATTTGTAATAAGCAAAATAAGCATCTGCAAGAACATCATATAGTTTATTTGGACAGAAACAAATGTGTCAAATGGTCAGTAATAATTATCAATAGGGAGGAGTCAATTCTTTATTTTCTGCTTAAGGAATGCAATTATAATAAGTTTAACCAGCTGCATACTAGAATGTTTAATAATAATAGATGATGGTTTAAGTGTAAAAATCAAAAATACCATAAAAATTTATTTGATTTTCAATTGAGATATAATTAGATTATAAGAAATTTTTTATATGAATCGGTCTAATTTAAAATTTTTTATAAATGTGATGTAAAAGAATTTTATTAAATTCTTGTATTTCTAAATATTCAAAAAATATCTTATTAAAATAAGTAATTTAACTGAAAATACTTCAGTAATTAATTAATGATCTAAAATCTAGTAATTAATTAATGAAATCTAAAATCTAATTTATAAATTTTTTAAATTTGTTAATCTGACAAGCTTTAGTTACTATTGGATAAAAAAATCCATAAATATTTAGAGAGAATTTTATACCAAAAATATTTTTCCTTTTTCTTAGAATTTAACATAGTTTACTTTAGTTTAAGGTGTTTGAGATACTTTTATTCAATCCATATTATTTTGGATTTCTTAGTATAAATCAGATAAAATAAACTTAATTTTATAAGCAAAATGAGCATATTAATATTGAATTGCCTAATTAAATCAAAATTAAATTGTATCATGTTTCATAAATAGCTTAAATTTTTTATTTGAGAGGTTTTGAAATATTTTAAGATTATATTAATTTAAATTTCTGATCTTGATTATGCTGTTTAGATTCTCGCAATTATCGAGATTAATAATTCCAAATTTTAAAGGTTTCCTTTGTATATCTATTTATCATAAGTTTTACATTAATTTATTGAAAATTATAATATTTTCTTTGATTTAATTGAAATATTATATATATATGAATAATTTCCTTTAAATATCTGTTTCGATTTTATTTTACCACCATGTAAACCTTTTGTAGAATTCAAATAAATATTGAGCAAAAACTTCTCCTATAATGATTCCTATCTGTACTTAATATGCCAAATAGCTTTTTGAGGTTATTGACATTAATATTCCTATAGATGATGCTTGCTAATAAAAATCTATTATTTTCAATATAATATTTATCTATTTTTCTAATTGTCAATAATGAGAGAACAGTCTAAGTAATAGAAAATTTTACTAAGAATTCTTTAAATACATTTTTCAGACTCATCAACTAAACTAATTCATTAACTTTGATTTGGTTTTAAATTTCAATAATTTTTTATCTTGATATACTAAAAAAAAATAATGGCAGCATTTGTTCTTCACTATTAGATATAAACTATTTCAAAAAAACTTTCTAATATATTGTTAATGAATTCAATTTGAAGTATCATAAATATATTATAATATAAATGTTTTAACTCTCAGAATAATGATATTAAAATTATTTAATCAGATATTGGAATAAGACTTTTTCTATATAAAATTCAAAAGTCTTAAGGTTGTATTATCATTCCAAGTGATCATAAAGTGAAAATATAATTTAACTCAATATCAATTATTATTAATATTAATTGAACCCCCTTCATTTATTAATAAAATTAAGAATTCTAATTTGAATTACCTTTATAAAAATATATATATATAATGACTTTGCCTATTTGAATTTTTTCTTCATTTAAATTTTAATTGAAATATTTGTGCATTTTTCCAAAAATTGTTGAATTTTCAATTTGGCCTATTCATTTTTTCTTTTATTGAATACACCAGAGTAATTACCATCAATATTTCTCAGAAAAAGGATATCTCAAAATATGATTGTCTGTATTTTTACAACTATGTTCTTCACATTTTTGCTATAACTTGCTAAATAATTTTTTTATATCTCACGTAGGTTTTAATACCTTTCAAAATTATTTCGTGCAGAATAAAGTGTAACTTAATTGGCATTATTAGTTTGGCAGCTGCAGGACTTTCTAACCTTTTTTTTTTAATTTTTACATAGTTTTTGTCCTCAATTTTGGATCCATGTTCTTTGAGATCCAACTAATTTATTAAGAAACTAGTTGGACAACTTTATGGTAAACTTAAAACACCTCTTTAAGTACTTTCACCAGATGAGTTCAAGATCGAATATTGAGAGTTTTTCCAGAAATAATGTTAATTTAGTATAAAGATGTTAGGTAAAAAATATAGTTGCCTTAAATTGACCTTAAGTTGCTGAAAATTAACCCTCTTTTCAATAATTTATTTGAGGTAGTATTTTTACCTATTTGTTAAGCATCACTCCTAAGTATAAAAATCTTGATTTTTATTAATTTATTTTCATTTTGTAGATAACTTCTTATTCATTTAGATTCTTAATATTAAGGCAACTTTATTAAAGTCAAAATAAGTCCCAATACATCTGTATAAATCATTGTTTCTACATTTTCATGCAATCTAAACTTTAATTTCTGTATATAATCCTCCATATCAATATTAAATAAGGCTTGTGATAATGGCGACCGTTATGGCACTGCATACATTAGAGTAATCTTTAATCCATCAAATTTTGAGAAATATTATGTAATTTATATTAACCTTAAAAATTCTATTTGACATTTTACTTTTCAACAAAACTAAACTTTTTCTCAGTCTACAAAATAATACCCACTCTTAAAATCAATAAATAAGTAGCATTTATTTGTATTGGCACCTAGATTCTAAATAAGCAAATATATGTGCCAGAGTTTTTAACAACCATTTTTAGTCTGTTTATATTTTTATTTCTAATTATTTATTAAGATGGTGAGCAAATCTCATTACCATATATTTTAGCAATGGACTCAGTATTATTATTTGTCTAAACTTATTGTCTTTTGGAATGTCGGAATGTGCTTTATAAAATGGTTCCAATCTTGTTTAAATATTTAAGGAAAACTTAATTAAATTATGTTTAAATTTTGTTCTTAATCAATAATTATATGTAAATTTCATTTTTCTATTAATCTATATATTAGAAATTCCATCAAATACAATTATTTTATTTTTTGAAATTAGTTTTTAAAGTTTTAATCTCTCCTTTAAACCAAGTGGAGGTAGTGTTGGTAACTTTTGTGGTGCATATAATTTCCAACCAGATAATTTAATAAACAGTTTTCTGATTGAATATTAAATTTGATCTCTCCTTTTTCAGAAATATAAGCATTACAATGCTACAATCAAGTTTTTTTGGTTGCATTATTGTGATTCTATTTATCTTTCAAAAAGCTTCACCATTATTTTCCACTTTAAAATTCCTATAAATTGTCTTAATGTGATTGATCATGTGTTGACGAATTTTAAGAGGGGATATTCTAACATGATGTTTTAATATTACATCACATCCCTACTTTTCTAGACATTTAAAAATTTTGCTTGCTTTTTGATTTGAGGGTAAAGCTTTATAAATATTTAAAAATGTAATGTCTCTATCGAAATTTTTTTGTGAAAACTCAGCAGTTGCTGTATTTAGAAAATGGTCCGATGGTTTTGTTAATTGTGTAATGGCAGATATATTTAATTTTTGAAGATAGATCAGAATGTGATCAATTCTATTCATGATTGAAATCACAACAGATTATTTGTATTCTGAAATTGGAAAGACAAGTTCAGATTCTTTGAGTCTCTCCTTCAAATTTTTTATTTTTGAGGGAAGTAAAATTTAATAAGAAGTAATTTCTTAAAATTTTTTTCCCAATGTCTTGCATGTATTGGGGTATTTTTCTAGTTTATAACTTTAAATGTTCTAATTAGCCTCAATTATATTTTGTGATCCTCAAGTTTATAATGAAACAACATTGAAATTGCCAAATTGATGATTAATTAAAAATGCTTGGTTCTGCTTAATAAACTAAAATTAGAAGTTTTAGAGTATTTTTGCATTATTTGAGATCTTTGCTTTTGTGAAAGTAAAAATTGAGTAATAATCATAATAAATATATGAAAATTTCATATTTGAGGTTCACTGGAAACGGCCTCGACCAAATAGAAGAGATAGATTTACTAACGTAGCTCCCTAATCACTACGAGTACATAATGACGGAGACTCGTCGGCTTTCCGTTCCGACTGTGACTCGTCGTTCACTCATTATTGTCATGTACTGTTGTAGGCCAGTGCTTAAACCAGTTTTAATCT